GGGCCGGCACGGAGATGGCGGGTGCCGCCCAGTGCGATGGCCCAGCGCCCGCTCCCTCCTGTCCCCTCCCTCCTCACTCGCTGCCCGGCCGCGGCGGGGCTGCTGAGGGACGGGACCTGCCCTGAGGGCTGTCAGGCCCGTGGCGAGAGCGCCTGGGGGCAGCTGGAAGCTCCTCTCCCCGCTTCAGTGTCCCGGTTTGTCCCTCAGCTCAGCCAGGGGCTGTTTAGCCCAGCTCGTTCTTGGAGCTTCCAGAGAGTCTTCACGGAGCTGCCGGTGATGCTGAGCTGCTCCACTGATGGCCTCTTGCGAGGTTTAAACCTGAACGTGAATTTTTCCTCCGTGTTGAGCAGGTGAACGGATGTGTGAACTGGATGCAAAGGTTCTGGCTTTAAAAGCCGCTTTTTAGTACATCATTCTTTGAAGGGAGTTGATCTTTTTTTGTCCCCAAAACTGAACGTGGGATTAAGTATTTCTGCTCAGTAGCATGGAAGAAATGTGCCTTTCGGTCAAGAACTGCAATCAGTTAAATCCAGCAGGCAGTCTGCCCTAAGTTTTAATGCCGTTCTTACAGTTAGTATAGATCTTCAAGGTATGCATATAATATCTAGTTTGCTCTTGCTTGCTTCAAAGCCTGGCTTAAGTGTTGACTTGGGCAGCAAGGTTTGAACACTATGGGTAGCGTTTCGTTCCTTGATTTAAACTTGATACTTTAAGCGAGCGGAACTTAGGTATAACTACAGAGGCAGTAAATGAGAGGGAGCTGAATTTAAAAGATGTGAGTTAATAGAAGCATAGGAACCAACGAGTTCATGTAACATGTGTCTTTGGGTCGGCAGGATGTGTGGGGCAATTATGCTGTTACATCTCAGAAGTATAGTCTGGATTTAGCTTGTGGTGTTTGGCAGTGCCGTCACTGCAGCCACAGGACCAGACAGCATGGCTCTTTACAAACCCTTTTCAACATCGAGGAGCCTGATAAAGAGCTGGACACTCTATTGTTAGCTTGGACACAGAATTAAATATTCTCAGTTTACAAATGGGTTTCTCAAGTCTTTTAATGGCAGAGCACATTTGATTTGTCCATGTTTTGTGTTTTTTAAACATTTTTTTAGGGTGAGTTTGAGACATGGTCTGGTAGACAAAGAGCTTGGGTTGCACTATTTGGTAACACAGGCCCATGAAGAACATGAGCTTAATTTGAGGTAAAAGGTGCCACTTTGGCCTGACTGGAGGGCGGGCCAGATAGATTTTCCCAGAATGTGAGAAAGAGGAGCTAGGCCAGTGCTGAAGGGCCATTTTTAAAGTAAAGACAAGAATCTATAAGCTGTGCCTACTCTGCTTTCAGTGTAGGGTGGTGACCTGAAAGATTAGCTATGTGATGCAAGGATTTACAGCCTGTGATCTCAGCAAGGCACAGCAGAATTTCTCAGTGATCATTCTGTGATCTAGTGTATCCTTTCTGGTCTGTGACTTGTGGCGAAAGGTGTTTGTCTCTGACTTCAGGCAGCACAAATATATACAGAGGGGTCCTGGGTTTCCTCCACAGCTGGGAGAAAGTTATGTTTAAAGCCTGAATTTCTAGAAAAGAAAGTTTGTAACATTATATAATGTAATATAATATTTTATTACGTTTCAATATTATATAACAAAAGTTTCAACTCAAGGATGGGTTTACTCGTGCATCACCTTTTTCATAAAATCATGGGTCTGTGAAGCATAGATGTTTTCTCAAGTAATTGTGAAAAGTGTATTGCCCTGTTTTGGATTACAACTTTGATTTCATCAAAGTGAACTCGTGCGCGGATGTCGTGCTGCTCAAACACATAACAGAGTTTTTATGGATGACTCTTGCCAAACCAGCCTGCAGCATTTCTTGGCAGCACTTGGGATATGTTCCCAGACCACCAGTGGTTATTCTCTGTTTGCGGTATTCTTTCCTTTCTTCCTTCACTCTTTAAGACTGTTGTCATCTTGTATTCTGTGCTAACCTGATCTTACATTTTTATTGCAGAAATGTCTCATCAGTGGCATATGGCTTATATCCAGAAGATACCCAGTTCCTGTAGTCCACAGGGGTACAGCATATAGAATGAGCAGGCCTGTTTTAGAGATCTATCAGGTTGGTTAACGGCTGATTTTTTTTTTTTTAAATTTCAGGCTGAAAGTGGTTTCCTATTAGAGTACTGATCTAGTAGATGTGGATATGTTTCTGTGAAGCAGCAGTTCTAGGTTGAAAGTTTCCACTTTTTAAGATGTGTCTGATGAACTCAGGGAATTTTGTAGTAGCTGAGTCTAAGTTACAGAGTTCGGGAGTGGTGCTCTGATAACTTCATCTACCAAATTTTTTAACCCTGAACTAACCTAATGAACTAAAGCATCTCTTTTAATGGCTATATAGATGTACTTCACAGGGCATTAGAAATGTGTTGGACATCTGGCTGTTTTGAGGATAGAAAAAAAGCTGCTGCTCTTTTAAGGTAGCTGTATGTTTTTCACAACATTTAATATTTTAGAAGTGACCCAGTGCTTGGCTTAAGTAAATCTACCTGCTGGCTTTGATACTTGCTTAATTTAATGTCTGATTTTCTTTAGTCTAGATGCTACTCTTCTGGAGGAAGAAAGGGTTTTATATCAGGTTTTGTGGAGAACATCAAACAGGAATTAGCAAAAAACAAGGAGATGAAAGAAAGTATTAAAAAATTCCGAGATGAAGCTAAAAAGCTAGAAGAATCTGATGCGCTTCGAGAAGCAAGGAGGAAATATGTAAGTCTTCCTGATGAATTTCTTTGATGTTTTCATTGCCCATTCACTGAGCTATTACTGTTCTGACTGTAAATTTGAATCTTTCTGCAAATGAACTGTTTAGTTCAGCATACCTTTTTTATGAGAAGTTCTGCTTGGTTGGAAATACTGACTGGTAAATGGATGCCTTAGCGTGGTTTGTGGTGGTTTGTTTTTGGTTTTTTTTTTTTTTTAGTGGAAAATCTTTCCAGCAGACCTTTCACTGGATTTCCCAAATAACGAGCAGAGAAAATAATAAGACATTAAATTTAACGTTGGCAGTATTTAAATCTTCTTTTGCGTTCTTCGAAGAACTATAAACAGCGTTACTTGCAAAAATGAAATGCTGATGCTGGTTACTCAAGTAGTGTGCTCCTTAAGATGTAGCTCTCTTTGCCCTCGATTACAGTGTTAATGGGGTGTGCTGTGTGCCAAACTGTTTTTGAATATTTTCTGTCCTCATAGTTACATGCAGCATGTTTTTTTCCACAGAAAACCATTGAATCTGAAACAGTGAAGACCTCTGAAGTGATTAAAAAGAAACTTGAAGAAATAACTGGTACAGTTAAAGAGGTAAAATGCAGCTAGAGAAGAACCTTTCCCTAAGGCAGTTCTGCTCTAAGGTTATGTGTTTTGTGTCCATTTGAAAAATCACCCTTTCTTTTTTCTTGGTGAAAGGTGGTTGCTATTCCAAAGGTGATCACTATTCTGAATCTTTAAGGCCAGAGTCATTAACAAAATTGCAGCAATAGTGTTTGATAGATTTCTTAGTTAGTGTGTGGTCAGAGGACAGGCACTGCCCAGTGATTTCTCTCAGATTTGGCAACTGGAGGTAGTCCTTATGGTTCTGCATTGTCTAGCAGTAAAAAAAAGCCTTGGGGTGGTTCTTCCACTGGAGGGCACTTAGAGCAATGCTGGAAGATCACCCTGGAAGTTCTTTAGCAGATGTGACTCTTCATGCTGACATTTCTGGCTACTAATGTGATAGGGCTTCTGGCTGCTTACTGCATGTTGAAAAAGACTTGCAACATCAGAGGCTCCAGGTGCTGTAAGTAGAAGTGCTGGTGGTATAATTGAGTGCTCTCCCTTAAGTTAGTGTGCTGTAAGTGATCCCATGGCTCTGTGTGTCTTGGGAATAACAGAACGCCTGGAGGAGCAGGCATTGTTTGTACCTAACAGGTATGAGTGTCTTCCATTCTAGGCTCAGACTTTAAGGCTCACTGTGTCTATGTAGATCTATTTTTAAGCAATTGAATTCAAGTTATTTTTTTAGGCTGGGACTAAGCACTGCAGCTTGTGCTCATTTACTTCAGTTCTTGTCTGAGTTCATCTGGGCAGCAGATGTATTTGAGTGTTTAGTCATGCTTTGACTTTTTATCTCTGGAGTAAATTTATGAGGAGTCTTCCTGATAGTATTTTAAAATATGGAATAAACTGGGCGGGAGTGTTGATCTGCTGGAGGGTAGGAGGGCTCTGCAGAGGGATCTGGATAGGCTGGATCGATGGGCTGAGGACAACTGTATGAGGTTTAAATAAGGCCAAGTGCCTGGTCACAACAACCCCATGCAACGCTACAGGCCTGGGGAGGAGTGGCTGGAGAGCAGCCTGGCGGAAAAGGACCTGGGGGTACTGATCAACAGTCAGCTGAACATGAGCCAGGAGTGTGCCCAGGTGGCCCAGAAGGCCAACAGCGTCCTGGCCTGTATCAGCACTAGTGTGGCCAGCAGGAGCAGGGCAGGGATCGTGCCCCTGTACTCGGCACTGGTGAGGCCGCAGCTTGAATCCTGTGTTCAGTGTTGGGCCCCTCACTACAAGAAGGACGTTGAGGTGCTGGAGCGTGTCCAGAGAAGGGCAACGGAGCTGGGGAGGGATCTGGAGCACAAGTCTGATGAGGAGCAGCTGAGGGAACTGGGGTTGTTCAGTCTGGAGAAGAGGAGGCTGAGGGGAGACCTCATCGCTCTCTACAACTACCTGAGAGGGGGTTGTGGTGAGGTGGATGTTGGTCTCTTCTCTGAGGTAACTAGTGATAGGACGAGAGAAAACGGCCTCAAGTTGTGTCAGGGGATGTTTAGACTAGATATTAGGAAAAATTTCTTTCCTGAGAGAGTAGTTAAACATTGGAACAGACTGCCCGGGGAGTGGTGGAATCACCATCACTGGAAGTGTTCAAAAAATGTGTAGATGTGGCACTTCAGGATATGGTTTAGTGGGCATGGTGGTGTTGGGTTGATGATTGGACTTGATGATCTTAAAGGTCTTTTCTAACCGTAATGATTCTGTGATTCTCTTAAAGGGAGTACAAGATTTTCTGCAGTAAGCTACAGCTGAGAGGTACTTCAGGAGGCTATTCCTAGTCTGTCAGTTGAAGTGTGTGGACTTCGTGCTCATAGCTAGGCTGCACAGAGCAGAGTGAGCTTAGCTATTTTCAGTAGTGGTTTAAGATCAAAGCCTGTGTGATTGTTCCCAACACTTGCAGTCAGATGCAGGATCCCTGCTGAGAAACTGAGAAACAGCCAGCCAAACACTGGACTTTAAACTCTGTGCAACATAAAGTTTGTGGGGACCCGCTCTCTGCTGTGCTCCTTCACTCTAGTTCTGTCTAAATGTGCTTTGATGAGCTTAACTGTGTGTACAGTTATGAGCTGGGTGTAATGCTCTTTGCTGATGTGGACATAACCAGCATCTTTCCAGTACCGTTGAGGCTTCTGTAAGCATCTTTATTAGCCAAATCTCATTGACAAACAGGGAAAACCATTGAGTACTGTTATTGTGTAGTGTTAGCCTGTCATTTGTCTTCCTCTGAGGTTGTGGCTTGTGATCCATCCAGGGCTGGTTGCTGCTGCCAGTGAGATTTCTGAGATCCTCAAGGATCTGATGTGTGCTGGTGCAGAATGCAAGGGTGACCAGCTGCTGGCAGAGTCCTTTTAACCTCCTGCACAAGGGAGCCCGGCTCTGTAAACGCAGCCAAAGTGATGTATATGAAGGTGTTGGATTGAGAAAGGCGTTTCCTAATTGGGCAGGAAGAGTTAGAAGCAAGAAGTACTTGTCTCAAAGGAAAGGACTGGGGAATTTTAACTCTGGCATTATTGTTCCTTCTCTTTGATGTCAAGAAAAATACATGTTGTTTTAAAATCTATGGATAGCAGCTATTACAAATGCATATGGTCCCATGAGTAGCCAAATTTGTTGTTCTGCACAGAGGTGTCGGCTAATGATGCAGTGCCAAGCCATGGTGTCCCGGTAAGTCTCCCCTGTGACATGTAACTGTGTGTTCACTTTAGGTTTGGTTAGTCTTGTCATGTGAAGGGGAGTTACTCAAAATGAGTTTTCACCCAAAATGACCTTTTCTTTCCTGTTTTGTTTTGTTGCAGAGTTTGGATGAAGTAAGTAAGAGTGATATTGGCCGAAAGATAAAGGAAGGTGTGGAAGAAGCAGCAAAAACGGCAAAGCAGTCTGCGGAGTCAGTGACAAAAGGAGGGGAGAAATTAGGCAAGACAGCAGCCTTCAAAGCTATTTCTCAGGTATGTAAGTCCCATCATGCTCTACGACCCAGCGCTGTGGGCACAGCTCATTAACATGGAAGTGATGTGTGAATTTCTGCTGAGTATAAAATTAAATGCAAAACTCTTACAGCAAGACCGTATGAGCCATTGGAATGAGCTGATAAATTAGGGAGAAGTATTTTGCAGGTCTAGCATTCACTCAACAACCCTAGAAAAGTGTAAGTCTTGAGTAGCTGAGCTTCTGCTGAAATGTGTTACCGGAAAAATTGGTTGCTGTGCTTGTGGAGTAGGGCAGTAAATGTCCCTCTTCTGTAGGCAGCTACTGGTGGTACTCCTGGGAACTGCCGACTGACAAACCGGCTTGCTTAGAGCTCTCCTTTTCTAGAAAATATACAAGCACTCATATGTTTTGCTGTTAAGCGCTCATATATTAGCCTACAAAGAAGTGTTCCCTGTGAGTGGTTTCTCATGCCTCCTCTGAGACTTTTGCCCCTGTAACTCCTCTACCAGGCCAGAAGGAGGATCACCTGCATCGGTCATGTCAGTTCCTCTCTTTTTGTGTTTCTAATAAGACATCATCTGCTAAAGGTCGCTTCTAGCCATAGCTGCAGATCACATTATACATTATTATTTTTTTTTTTGTGTGTATGTCTGTAATGAAACCTGTTATCTTACTCCAGCAGCTTCCTAATCGGAGAACTGTTTGTTCGTCATGCTGCTAGGCCAGACTTCATAAGCAGGGAATGATTTTATGGGACCTTAAAGTAAATTTGTTGAGTCTTAAAGATTTGTTTTCCCTGTAAACAGATAAACCTTTTGATTCATTGTTAAATTTAAGTGATTCACAGAGCTTTTATAGGCTGCGAGCAGTTCTTGTAGCTTTGCTATACTTTCTAGTATGCATGTAGGATTTAGAATATTCAGTCTACTCCTTTAGAAAACCAAGTACGCTATCTTAGAAATTGTAGTAGTAGTGTCATTTTGAGATCCCCATTGCTTCAGTATTTAGGAGGAATTTTATTTGTATAATCTAGAGGTACATGGTATCCACAGGGCCTTGTGTCTTCTTCTCTTCTCTGCTAGGTTCCTCAGATGGTCTTTTAGACTCAGTAGGAACAGACTGAGCTTTGGAGCTTTTTATTTGTTTATCCTTGATGCTTAAAGTCACTTGAACTCCAGTTTCTGCTTCATATCAGATCTCTGGCATCTATTCCATCTAGGTCCTGAGCAGTGTTGTAACTTCCTTAAGGAAGGAGTCACACTGCCTTTCAGTAGGGGAGGACGAGTTATGCTGGCAAAGCTGTGCGTTCTCCAGAAAATTCCTGCATAAAATAAAGTTGAAAAATAACAGCCCCCATAAAGCCACATGATGCTTCGGGCTACATAACGTACATGTCCTCAATAAAAACATGAATTGGGAAAAAGCTGTGTATAAAATCAGAGAGTAATAAATAAAGAGTGTATATAAAATCCTTTTCTGCCTGCGTGTGTCTAGTTGTAATAGGAAAGTGTACTTACTGTGCAACAGATCTTTTATAGGTACAGTCATTAGAGAAGGCACTGCTCAAAAGTTAAGTAATAAAAATAGAGCAGTCAAGATGAAGGAGAAACACTAAAAATGCCTTTTAGTCCCAATCCCCACTGAAGTGTACGACAAAATTCCCAACAATGGTTGCAATAGGATGCAGCTTCTGCTTGGCAAAATCTGAATTAAGGATGTAACTATTCACTGATGAGATGTATACCGGTCCTTTTTCTTGATGTAGCCTCACCCAAGAGGGAGATTATCTCCTCTCTCTCCTTTAGTATAAGCTGAACTACTGTCATTTTTTTTTTCACATCTCTTCTCTGGCAAAACCAGTTTGCTTCGAAGTTATTTTCTCAGCTAGAAGGTGTGTAGAATTCTGTACAAAGTGAGGCCCCTTTTTGTTTTGGGGAAAGCAGTACTCCTGTTTGTTTAAGCTTGGGCCTAGAACCTGGATTTTATTGACCTTTCAGGTGGCTTTGCAGTTAGTTGTTGGTATCCCCTACGTCAGATACTAGGAATCATTCTTCCTTTTACCTGGAGCTTGTCATTGTATCAGCGGCTGCTGTCTGCTGTTGAGGGCTGATAAGCCTGCCTTCCTCTGGCTTGATTTATTCTGATTTAAACTCTGCAGAGGTTACCTCTTATCACCTGTCAGGTTTGACTGTGTCCATAGCTTCTAGTATATTGTGTTTTTTTCTTCAGGTTGATGCAATACAACCATCTGTTTGCTGTCCTAGACTTTTAACTTCTTAAGCAGAAGGCCTTGGTACTGGTGCATTTGTTGATAGACATCAGCAAAGATGCATTTGCTGAGTAAGGGAGAGGAGAATAGCCTGTGGTTTCTTATCTTTTTTGTTGGTTTTTTCCCTTCAACAGAAGCAATTTTTAGTTTCTGGGGAAGGGCAAGGGGGAACGGTAAATCAACCTAATAGGGATATTTTCCTTTCAGGGAGTAGAAACCGTTAAGAAGGAAATAGATGAAAGTGTTTTAGGGCAGACTGGTCCTTACAAACGTCCGGAGCGACTACGAAAAAGAACAGAATTCTCAGGCGAGAGGATTAAAGAGGAGCGAATATTTGAAGCTAATGAGTACGTATTGGATGTAATTTAGGGTGAATATTTCTCTGTATAATTTGATAAAAACTTTAAAACTTAACTACAGGTCAGGGATGGTTAAAATCCAAGTGCTGAAGTGAGGCTGTGGGGTGAGGCGTGACCTAGCAGAGCAGGTAGGTCTGAGAGCAAATTTCCAGCATAAGTTGATGATGTTGAATCTTCCGATAATGAAACTGGGCACTTAAAATTTTAAAGTGGGTACATAATGTTCTGACCTGAAGTTTTGACTTGTGCATGTGTTTCAGTTCTAATGCCTTGCTATCGAATTGCGTTTGGCAGGACTAAGTCTGAGCTCCTTTGCTTTCTCTGCTGCCTTGCTCCACTAAGTTGTGTATCGTTTTTGTGGTGTATCAGCCTCGATGATACTGCATGCTGCGGTGATATTCGTGAGGATGTCCTCCTTTTTATTCTCACTCGGTTGTAAGTTACTTGTTCACAAGTACCCATGTCTTCTGCACTTTCTAGGGAGGCCATGGGTGTGGTGCTGCATAAAGACTCAAAATGGTATCAGCAGTGGAAAGATTTCAAGGACAACAATGTGGTCTTCAACAGTAAGTGTTCCAAAGACAAAGGAGTAGCACGTTCTTTTCCCCATTCTGGTTCTTGCTGTGTTGGATCTAATGCCATCTGTGCAACTAGTCTCAACATAATGCAACTCGTAGGCATTTTTTTTTGTTGTTGTAGCTATTGCTGAGAGGTGGTGTGAATGGGAGGTAGGCGTAGTTGACAACACTGCAGCTTTTCCAAGCTGCTCCATCTGTGTGCAGACCTCTCCCCTGGTCAGGCATTGTTTTTGATCAGTCCCTGCTCCCTGTAGGTACCAAAACCTGCTTTGACCATTGCTTAAACAGAACTGAACTCTGTTCTTTTTCCTTTTTTTTTTCAAGTCAGATCCACTCTGGCACTGGGAAGAGGCCAGGGCATGCATGCATGTCACTAGGGAGAGGGCAGGCAGATCTCTTCTTCCTGACCTTGAGCTTATGATGAGGAATAATCTTGTCTTCAGTGAGCTGGTTTCTGTTGTCATCTGCTTAGAACTCTGGAATGTGTGGGACTTTGCCTCCTTTCTGTTTTTATCGCAAAACCTAAAAGTGCTGAATATCTGTCCTGCAGTGGGCAATAACTTTTGATAGTTACCTAGGCACTTAATGTTTCTGAAAGGCATAAAGAAGCCTGAGACCAGAATCCTTCAACAAAACAAAACAGTCGTTGTCAGTGTACTGCAGGGTAAATGACTTGTTAAGGAACAAAAAGATTGAGTAAAAGTGCAACATATAATTAACTTTGGATTGTGTTTCTTCCCAACTTGTTTTAAAGTAGTGCTCCTTGGGAAGGTATCCGAGAATGGGGTTTTTACATCCCATTTGTTAGCCTTTCCAAGGAGATGCTCATACCTCCAGAACTCCCCACATGTCCCATCCTCCTGTCCTGTGCCATCTGCACGAACTCTATGCTTTGTCTAGATTTTATGCATATTTCCAAGACTCTGGTTTTGCAATTCAGGCAACAGGGCAGCTGTGGCTGCACCAGACTCTACAGTGTGTTCTCTCCCTTTAGGTACCACCAGTACCCGAGAACACAGTGTGTTTTTTGGAAGGAGCGTAAGCTTCAGGGCAGGATTCCAATTGTTAATTGACGTGGTGGGAAGAAGCTTCCCTGCAGGGCCCATTATCCTGCAGCTACCTTCTGCAGTTCTGCTCTGTCTGATTGATGTCCAGAGACAGATGAGTTGGTTGAGCCCTTAGTTTCTTGCAACAATGCCTACTTGCTTAAATGGCTTTTTTTTTTTTTTACTTCACCCCTTGCCCTTCTTTCTGCGTTTGAGATGGTGCTTTGCAGGAGTTCTCCTTCCCCATCAATGTCTTCTGTAGTTTTGTGACATGCTCGGCTTGCTTTCTTATCAAGGTTGAGAAGTACATAGAGCTGCTTAAAAACTGCATCCTTACTGATGTCTTGCTATTTTATTAAAAATTGGCAAGGTTTAAGGTCTATTCTTGATTTTTCCTCCCCCCTTCCCCCCGCAGTTAAACTTTCTGGTGTTGGTTTCACATTGCTACATCCTGCTACCCCTTGTAGCAGACTGAATCAAGGGGTGCAAGCAGACTGTTACTGGGGTAAGCAAGTCTAGTGTATTTTCCACTGAAAACCTGCATAGAAGGTCCAGAGTTTCTGGCAGCTGAAGTCAGAGAAACTGTCATTCTCCTAGTGACTGTTGCTGATAATTAAGAACATTGCAGGAAGCTGGGGAGAAAAGTAACTGTTGAAATTGGAACTCTTTAATCAACAAAGAGATTTAGAAGAGAACTTGCAGGTTTAAGCTGCAACCCATTGCATGTTGTTTCCTAATTCGGGAATGTAGTGGAAGGACACTGCTGCTCATGTCTCCTCTCGTTTCAGGGTTCTTTGAAATGAAAATGAAGTACGATGAAAGTGATAATGCATTCATTCGAGCTTCCAGAGCTGTCACAGACAAAGTCACTGACTTAATAGGTAATGTTTCATCATTGCTGTGAAAGTGCATCTCTAGCCTTTTAGCTCTGTTCCTAGTCACTGTTAGTGCTGTTGTCCTCCGTGTGTTACTAACCTTTGGGGCAGATTCTGGAGCTTTATAATCTTTTGTATGGCTCATTATCCAGTATCATGCAGTGTAGCAGCCTGCTGCTGGGTCAGAAGTGCAGTGCGATGATAAGTGCTTCTGTGGGATAAATCTCAAGCCTAACTTAAAGTCTGTGGTCATTACCAGGTGACTGTTCCTTCCCTCTGGTATATAACCACAGGTTTTTCTCTTGTTTTCTGGTAAGAGTTGCCACACCACCAGTCTCACTGAATTGTTTTATTAGGTGGATTGTTCTCAAAGACGGAAATGTCTGAAGTTTTGACAGAGATACTCAAAGTGGATCCATCCTTTGACAAAGATCGTTTTTTAAAGCAGTGCGAGTATGATATAATCCCCAATGTCTTGGAGGTAAGGTGGGGGTAGAGTATGATGAATTTGTTTGGTTTTTTTCTTTCGCTATAACATGGAAGATTTTTCTTTTAGTTTTCTGATGCTAGGAAAGTATTTCCTTCTCAAGCATCTAGCTTTGCACAGAACATGAGATAACCTTGGGAAAGGAAGTTGGGTCCCACATAACAATTTAGTTTAAAACCATATTTCATAATTTAGTAGGCTAGCAAATTTTTTTCTGGCCTTGAAAGCAACTAACCATCTTCTCCTACAACAAATGATGTGGGCATCAGAGGGATCAAACTGAAGTAGGTGAACGAACAGTACTGGGCAAATGGTGATATCAAATATTGATAAGGGAAAGAATTTGGTGCGTAGGTACTGCTGGATTCTAAATGATCTGTGGCTGCTTGGGAAGAAGACTGGCTCATGACAAATGGTTCAGTGAAAATATTCCTGGCACTAGCCAAGGAAGTGTGGGGAACTTAACATTTTTAAAGGCTGAAGTATAAAACCACTCAAGAGGATAGCACGGATAAAGGATGTGACCTCGTGTATAAATGGATATAGTTCCTCTCACTGTATGTCAGAAAAGACAGAGTGAATGTAGGGGATTTGAAGAAATACAGCAGAAATTGTTTTGAGAGATTTGCATGGACTAGCAAACCTGAGGCTTGAAGAGATAAACAGATGCTGAGAGAGAGCAAAGTGTTATTTTTCTCGTCCTACAATATAGTGCAGTGAGTGATCATATCTCAAATTGATACATACTAATATGCATGTAGAAATATTTGTGATACTCCTAGTCATGAAGTAGCATTATCGGATGAATAAAAAAATAATTTAATGCTTACAGCTGCAAACATCCAAACTGATGCATAGTTAGGTTTTGTCACTGCTGTCTTTGTAGTGGCTGACTTGCGTATCAGTTCTGTGACTGGAACTGTAATGTCGACAGTAAAGACAGGCCTGTCATGAACCTTTTCCTAATGGTGCTGTGTCATTAAAGCAAGCTGCAAAAAACGAGCTCTTGACTCTTGGAGAATAAATTTTTCAAAGGAGAGGTTTTTGCAAACTGTAGGTAGCCAGCTTAACAGATGCCATCAGGTATGAGGATTTATAGGCATTATATTGAAAAAAACCCTGCCACATATAACTAACTTCATCTTGAAATCTGCTAAATTCCCAGCATCTGTCTTACTACAAATTCCAGGTGTTTTTTACACAATGTTTTAAAGATAAACCTTTTCATGAGTTGCAGTGTGATTCTTCTGTTTGTTCTGTGCCCTGAACTTTTTGCAGTCTTGAAAACTGCCGATCTATTTCTGGTTTGTATTCCTGCTTCTGTTAGATCCCACCTCCCAGGATTTCTGGGTAGTGTTGCATTCTGCTGACTTTTTGGACAGGAAGGTTTAAGGTAGCTTTTATCTTAAATTATCAAAAGCTTTATGTACATCTGACTCAGTACGTGTATGTTTATAGAGGTTCTTATTGCTGTTCCTCTTTGAAGCTCCTATCCTTCTTCAGAGTTTCACAAGATGTAGGATTTAAAATAGTTTGCTGCTGCAAGTGCTGATAATTTCAATTCTCTGATACAGGAGGTGCTTTAAAATGCTCCTATCTTATTTGATTTTCTCTTTTAGGCTATGATGTCTGGGGAGCTGGATATTCTCAAAGATTGGTGCTATGAAGCGGTAAGTAGAGCTACTAAAATGTCTCAAGGTTATGATTATCCTTTGTAAGTAGGTGCGTTGTGCTTCCTTTGCTTGCAAGCTGTCCAACTGTTGCATCTATGATGTTGCTTATCCGCTTTGCCCATGTAACATGTCCATACTATAAAACATGAATGCAGTCAAGTGTACATGCTGGACTTCTGGAGTAGTCTGGGTATAAGAGGAGAGCTGTTTAGAGACAGAAAGCAAGTCAAGAGCTAAGCTCAAACTAGTCTAACTAGCTTCAGTTCTGCACTGCCTTTCTTGAAGCAGAAGGGCTTTAGTAGAGCCTGTATCCCAGATACGGGATGAGAGGGTGCAGAGACATTTGAGCTGACCCAAAAAAGTGATGCTTTTCTGCTTATAGAGTCAAGCTGTCCTTGGAGCTACTATACAAACACAAGTCAACTGCAATATCCCAGCAAATAATCCTGACAGGTTGAAGTTTTTCTGAAATTGCAGCATAGATAATCTGCAGCCTGGGTAATATCACTGCAGAAAACTGAATTTTGTTTTGTTGTACAAAAACTGGTTTTCTTTTTGTACTGGGATAGATTTTCAGTATTGGATCCACTTCTCGAAACAGTGGGTATGAATTGATTGTGATTCAGTGATAGTGTTACTGTCCACGTAATTTCACGAAAGCAGATCCTTTCCTGAGAACATAGCTAGACACTTGTTCTGGTTTTTACCCTGCTCTAAGATAATTGTGTTGTAGGCAACGCAGAGCCATCTAAAGAATTTTAATTGCTTAAAGTGAATGTTCTCCTTACTGATCACCACCACCAGAGGGCTGGAAATGCACACAGTGGAAGAGGCAATTTTTTAATTAAATTTTTTATGGTTAATGTCTTTGTAACAATATTGCAGTATGTAAGAGTAAGATATTTAAAGCAGTCTGAAAGCAAAGAAAGTTTTTTGTTTGCTCAAGCAACCTTTGAAATGACACTGTAGAGTTAATCTCCAATCTCTAGAGGGTAGGAGCAGATTCACTGCAGTTTATAAGACAAAAAGCAAACCCTTCTAAGCTAGTTGTAGTTATAAATTAAGCTCGTAAGTCAAGAATCATCTGTAAGTAAGCCAAGGGAAGAAGTGGGAGTCCTATTAATGAGAGTCCAGGAGATAAAGGCTCTTGAACAGAATCATACCCGAGTCTTAAGTTTGTGATAGTGGTCACTGAAGTTTTGGAATACAAACCAGTAAGGCAAAAACTTATTGAAGTGGCAGGTATACCAACCGAGCTGCAGGTTGCTGCCAGCCCACTGGCTTTATAGATAGAGTTTGTGGCTCATAGAGCTGTGTCTGCCCACTGTCCTCAGAATCCCTGATCTGTAAGTCCAACTTCACTCTAGTAACTTTACCAGTATACTTCTGTAGGATATTTGCATTTAAATGCTTGTGATGAAGGTTAGAAGATTCGTGGTGGGGAGGGAGGTAGGGACTGACTCCTGTTTGTTTATACCTGCCAAAAATATGGTGATCATGCTGGAAGCAAGTAGGAATTCACTATCCCCAACAACAGTTCTCGATGCATAAATAATGAAGCATATGTGCATGTGCCTAGAAGCAGCCAGGAAATGCTGGTCTGCCTCCAGGGTCTAGCTGGGTGTTAGGAAAATAGCTTGCTTCCCAGACTGTTTTTCCTTGTCTTCTGTCAAATCAGAATCACAAGTGCCTTGGCTATCAGGTGCATGCTCTGTTGTGAGTGATGGATCTCCTGGTCTGTCCAGGGGTGATGGGATTTTTAGTGAGAATTTGGTTATGTGAAGCCCAGAGCATTTGATGCAGCTGTTTGATACCTTGCAAATCATACATGTTCAGCACATTTGCAAACAACTGACTTTTATTCTTCTCTCTTTTGATGGTTCTCTCTAAGCAGAAACCCCCTTTTTCATTGTCATAGAACAAATTCAAACATGTAACACAAGTTTGTTGCTTCATTTAGACTTACAGTCAGCTTGCTCATCCAATCCAGCAAGCCAAAGCCATGGGTCTCCAGTTCCACTCCAGGATTCTTGACATTGACAACATTGACGTGAGTGTCCTTTTCTATATTTCACCTTGGGGGATGAATCACAAACTCAAGACCTGAGGAGGAGTTTTCTTCTTTGCTCTGACTGCTGGTTTTATTTGCCTCCTGCTACTCTGGTATTTGCCATTTTTGCTAACAGAGGAACAGATCACCACTGCTGGAAGGGAGAGCTCATGGGACAGATTCGCTACTGTGTGATCAAGCCTAAGTTACAGCGTTGTGGTTTGTCTCCTCTCTGCCAGGGCACCTTGGTCTTAATCACCAGCATATAGATTGAGAAAGGCTAATAATAAAGGCAAATAGCACTGACGCGGTGCTTTCATGGAGGGCTTTGTCGGTGCTTACTCTGGATGATAATGCGCGCTACTTCGTGACTCAAGGTTGTGCCGTGCAGGAATGGCAATTGAAGAGACCTAACCGCTGTCCTGGCTGGCTCTGGATGGGTGGGGAGATAACGGCTGCGAGTGGAGCCATGGGCTCCTTAGGAGCCATGTTGGTAGCTGGGGATTCTGTCTGCACAGTCATAACACTCTCCACGTTCTCTTAGTTCTGTAGTACTAAGGACTATTGAGGAGCCAGAGGTGTTACTGTTCTAATTAGCAGTAAGTCTGCAGTAGTGCTTTCATTTAATTAAGTCTTTAGTGTCATCGGTCACTGGCCCCCAAGTTTTCACTCAGATCTTTCTTTCCTTCAATGGCAAAGGTATCTCAAAGAAATTACCGCCTTTAGCCAGACCTTTCCTATTCCATAACCAACTCTGCTGTGAAGGAAACGTGCAAGGGAAGGAGGGGAACAGGGCAGCTGCACACCGGTGCTTTCAAACATGTGTGGAAATAGTCAGATCAGCCATTTGCCTTTGTCATCAAAGGTGCTAACTCAAAGGCAGCAACATTCACTGCGGGTTTCTGTTGGAACAGAAATAATGTATTATGGTATATTTGTCCAATATATTGCAGCTGTGCAGTATTATCCTCAATAAAATTATAAGCTGAATCCATTAAATTACCGAAAAGCCAACTGCAAGGTCATTCCTGTAAGAACAGAGAACAGTTAGAGCTACTTAACAGGGGTCTAAACGCAGAGGTGGTCTGGTCCAAGGTGAGGATGCGGAGGATTGGAAACTTTCAGGTAGAGATGGAAATGGAGTATGGTGATAAAAGGATGCTGTTCAGAAAGTGGGATGTTCTAGATGTTGTTGGGTGTATTGGCTGGCCAGGTGTTTCTCACTTGTGGTCACACCCCTGCAAGACAAGAAGAAGAAGAAGAAGTCAGGAAGAATTCAGCAATCATCACAGAAAGCTGAGAGAACAAAGTCTGATGCTCTTGGTGGTTTGCTGAAAGGAGGACCACTGATGGTGATTTTTCTCTACCTGCAGCCCTGTGCAGGAGTCTCTCTTTTTGTGCAGCATCATTAAAAAACTGGAGTGGGTGCAGGAGAGCTCCAGAAACATCTGAGCAAATGCGCTACAGCAAGAGGCTTAGTTGACCTGTGTAGCCCTACAAAAGAACAGCGGGAATGGACTTGATTAATGACACGTATCTTCACGGGGAGCAAGAAGATCATCTACAGGGCATCTCTTCCCACAGAAGGCTAATGTCTGGTCCTCTTCCTAGGACTGTTTTGCCTTTTGGTCTTGATAGGCTTCTCATTTTCTCTCATCCATCTGGGTTCAGAGGAAGCCATTCCTACCTTTTTGGTAACTCTGAATATTAACTGCAAGCATGTGCCAAATGAGCGGGAAAATTTCTGTGGCATCTGCAATTCTCTTGATTATCTTCAACAATAATAATGCATTCTAACAAAATTAAAGCTGTGGAAGTAATAAACATGATTGCTTTTTTCTAAGCATCTTATTTAAGTCAAAGGTTTTTCTGTATAGTGTCTAGGAGACTTGATTTCATTGTATGCTAAATAACTTTTTTCCTCTGTAGGTGCTGATTAGTATAGAGCTGTGCACAGATTCTGAGTGGCAGCTGGAAAGACATTTCGTTACTGACTTGTTTTAAATGCTTGTATTTTCACACGAAATTTCTCAAGAAAATTACGCCTTAGCTGGAAGATGATTGATATGGAACATAAATGAGTGCAGTTCTTGTTGTGCTGTCTGTATTGCGAGAAAGGGGGATAAAGGGTGTTGTGTGTTTAAATTTTCAAATGCGTTTCTCTAGAGGAGATTTATAGGAGTATGTTGAGTGATCTCATCCAGAAAAACAGTTCAGTGAGTTTGGGGAAAAAAAAAAAAAATTAGAGGATTAAAGGGAATTCACATGCTGCAAAGTTGGCAGCATTAAAATTAAAGTCTTTCAAACATAAGCATCTGAACTCATGTTCCAGGTATTTGCTTAAAGCATTCTCTACTTCACTAGACAGCTACTGCCTTTAAATTTAATGGAGTTTTGAATCCTTGATACTTCTTAGGACTATTTATTTGGCTGCCTAAATGTAGTTTTAAATATGTGACTTGTGAAATGAGGTTTCTGAACTTAGTGTAGGAGGAGTGATAGAAACACTCTCTTGATTATAGAGGTTTTTGGGAATCATAGTACTAAAAAATAAAGCAATACTGGTGTGGAAGTCTTGGTGCCTATAAGGGATACAGCCTAGTCAGTGATACAGCCCTCCTCCTCCTCCTCCTCCTTGAAACCCACGTGGAAATTTATGTTGTCAAATTATCAATGCCAAGTGGTGTCGTATAAAACGTCTGTCATGGAAATTGGTCTGACAAAGAGCTGTGAGATCTGGCTTTTGATACTCGGGTGGAAGGCATTGTGCATTGCTGAATGAGTCAGGCCAGTTCCAGAAACGCAGTGTGGACTGGGATGGTGTGAGTTACTGCAGAGCTGGGGAGCTGATTCCCTCCGATTAAGCAAAGCAGCATTGCAGTAGTGCTGAGTTTTCCTCAAGGGAGAGCAAAATATAAATAAATATATCTATATATGCACCTTTGTGAATTATGGCACAGTCTTGTAACTGTCTCTGGCGATACATTCTTCATTATGTGATAAAATGCAATGTTTTTGAAATGGTATCTCTCATATACAAAAGTGTATAATCACGTCACCTTAAGTGTGAGGTAGTATGGTTACCTTTTTGGGTAACACGGACAGTAACTCCAGAATCACTGAAGAGCCAGGTATTCTGTAGCGTACTGCATTCCCACAAAAGAAACAGAAGGAGGGTTGTATTTTTTTTAAGAGCACAGCTTTGGAAAACAAAACTTAATTCTCCATTCCTCTTTGCATTTCAGTGAATAAGTTCTTTAAATTTTTAATGGAGTGACCTTCGAACAGAGAAAAAACAACTGTCAAAAGGTTCTCACCTTGAAGTCTTTCTATTACTTAGTTCTTTTTGTCTAGTTCAGACAACTTCATGTGGAAGATTCATTTAAAAGCAAGAGAAAAAAGCTTCAGTTCATGCACTTTCTGAAGAAAATGTCATTTTTTTTTTAAGAACAGGGTTTCTGTTATTTTTGGTTCCTAATTTGGAAATAATGGAACGGAGCTTGTTCATGTTTCCCATATTTTTTTGACTTGTGAAAACTTTCAGAACAATTGTGGGAAAGCTTGTAAGTACAGGGAAATTTTTGGGGAAAATGCTTTGCAATAAGGTCTACAGCATTTGTGTTAACAAAGCAGATATAACCTGTCTGATAGAACTAGATCGAGCTTGGGGAGAAGATGGGATTGTTAGCAGTGTCAAGCCATAGCAGTTGTGTTAAATACTTGATGCTTTTACGTTAATGGTCAGAAATTGTCTGTTTTCTAATGGAATTTTCTTTCATTGCAGCTGGCTATGGGGAAGATGATGGAGCAGGGACCAGTATTAATCATCACTTTTCAGGCTCAGGTCGTGATGGTAATTAAGAACCAGAAAGGGGAAGTGGTGGAAGGTGATCCGGTAAGTAACGCTCGTCGGCTGTACGTTTTTTCCCTGGGTCCCCTGCTAGGCACCTTGGTTGCTATGGAGTCATCCACTGAGGGCAGTGGGTGCCCGCACGTCCTGCGTTCACTGGTATGCGTAATACTGCATCTTGTCTTGGTTCAGCTCGGTGTCAGCTGTTTATTCCCCTCAGACTCTGAATGTTAATGACCCATTAATCGAGAATCGCGCTATGTGAGGAGAGTCTGGAAACATCTAGAATGGACAGAGAAAGGGATATTTTAAATACACAGTGAGGAGAGGAGCTGGAGCTATGACCACCAGCAGCGTTTTCTCTTCCAGTTGCTGCTGTGCCTCGGTCAGCATACTGCAGTTATTGCCGGTGAGTTCGGCTCCTTTGGCACCCTCTGGGACAGAACTGAACTGTCCTGCTGTCGATTAAAGCTCCATCACACAGCATCCATCCGATCCTGTTCTTCTTTTCTCCCTTTTCCTTTCGTAAAGGGCACTGTAAGAACAGAGCACAAAGATGTTCAGCAAACAGGGTGAGAGCTGGAGTTAAGTCGTTTGCAGGAGATGGGGAAAATCACTGTAAACAACTGGAAGTAGAAGTTTGTGGTTTTGGCTGCTGCCTCCTTACACTAGTACAAAATATCCTACAGCGCCACAAGCCTTTACTTACTGAATCTCTCCCATATCCAGTTGTGTTAAATGCTGCACCTGGTGCAGGCTTCTAATGGGAACCTGTGACACAGGGTGATTTGTGCAGCCAGTCTCTGGCGTCTCTGTGGATTGTACTTCACTGTGGTTTAGCTTTTAACACTGTGAGTCCAGCCTGCCTCTTCTGTTGTCAGTGATGTTAAACTGAGCCTGGCAGACGTAAGCACAGAATATGCTTATTACCAGAGTTAAAGACACAGCAGGCTTGAGGAGCCCCTGCGTTTTCTGGAATACCTTTTGTTCTCAAGTGGCTCGCTATCCAGACAGCTCTGCCGTGTATTGTGTCTGCGCAATGTTTAAGTAGCTTAATGATATATAATGGGGGACATTGTGAGATGCCTGGAGCTGGCAGTTTCTAGCAGACTTCCATTAAAATTAATACATGCATTTAATAAATATTGGCTTTTTGCAACCATTCTCTAGTCCAGGCTGTAAGCTTACAAAAAAAGGGACTAATTTTAATGATGGGGCCCATCTGGACTGATTTACAGCCTGTCACATCGACTGCAGGGGAGGAACAGCTGATATAGTGATTTCTTGCATTAAATTACTGCATTCCTAGAAGATAGATATTGATGTGATAATTATTGAACAGGATATCAAAGTCCGTTTGCTGTCTGATTTCTCTGGAGCAGCAATAAATCAGGGAGATGCATTAAAACTTGAGCTTTAATCACACGTCAGATGTAGGCTGGCTGGTAACTATGATTTGGTGTTAACTGCTGAGCTGCTCCTGTGGAGTATTGAACAACTGACCTTCTAGGGAAAAGGAGCCTCAAATTGTAAACTCTTTAAATAGAAATCATATGCTTGTAACTGCTGTGGTATTTTACCTGGTTGTGATTTTTAAGTTCCTACTGCAGTGCTGCAGGCTCGCCCCCAGTGGGGAGATGTGGGGAGACCAGGCAGCCTGTGACGGGGTTGGACCAGGTGTTGTGGTTGGCAAACGTAGGGGATCCCTGTGGAGCCCCACAAAATCAGTCTGGGAAAATGAGGTCTTGGACAATCCATCGTGCGATGCTGCGAAGTCAGGGGAATCTTTTTAAAATTAGGTCCTGAAGGACTGTGAGACAGGATGCTGTTTGTCACAGCAGACTGTGGGATTAAAGGACAAATTTCTGCCTTGCATGCATGGCCATCATAGAAATCTGCCTTTGGGAGTCCGCTGATGTTTGCTGTCCCACTTTCTGTGAATATATGCAGCAGCATGCACTGTACATCGAGGATTAAGATGTACCCTATTAATAAAAGCACCAGATCAGAAACCCAGAAATCTTTCCGCTTTGGAAACATGTAATTTTTATGTTTCCTCACATCTCATTTCCAGGAAGGAAGCTGTGCTAGTTGTTCAGTACTGCGTGCTGTGAGATCACCAGCAGCTGTAAGCTTATCTGCTGTTCATCCCCTCAGAAATACTATGTTCAAGAACATAAACTTTTCCAGATGTAGCAGAGCTTTGACACTGAAGTGTATGATTAAATTGCCTTTCATTACACAATCTTACAAAATGGACTTTGAAAATCACAAATCACAAAAATCATACCAATTAAGGTTCCACTGGCAATGTTAAAAATCAGTTATGTTACCCGCTTCATCTTGAGCTTATACGTAGCGTTTTATACTCAGGAAAGACCTGTTAGTGTTGCTGTGGCTGGTACATCAATACGCAGCCTGTCTTGGGCAGGCAAAACTTCTGTTGTTTTTTTTGTTCTCTTGTCCCCTCTGCTCTTCCTTCTGACATATCTCAAACGTCTGTATGACTCAAGTTTTCAATCCCTTTTAACACTTCTGAGCCAAGCTGGAGCAAGTTAATCTTCTGAAACACCGAGCAAGGAAAAAAATGACTTTATGATATGTGATATTTCTAAAGCATTAGTTTTCTAATGACTGGTCTGCTACAGAAAGTCTCCCTCCTCACATTTGTGTACCTAAATTATAACCTATAAAGATTCACACATTCGATCAAAAATGTAGTAGTTAAGTACACGTCTGGGAGCTAAGCCAATGCACAGTCTGATCTTTCTTATCTGAGGGAAATACTCTCCATGGTTAATGGCTAAATGATAAAATCAAAATAACCTTTGAGTTGCAGACTGAATCTGTGACACGGTGCCAGATCTGGGCTCCCTGCAGCCCAGTCTCTGATGGGCAGTGTCACCTCTCTCCTGGGAGAGGCAGAGACTTTGTCACAGTTAGCTGCAGTGATTCTTCAGGGAGTTGTTTTCATCAGACCATGAGTGATGGCCTCAGGATGTGCTGAGATATGCCTTTCATCCTTACTGTGAACAAAACTGCTGCCGTTCTCATTACGTGCATTAAGGATGGAAAAGCTTATAGTTCTGTTTTGGTAACTGGTGAAAGCACTGTCTGCACAGCAAAGGTTTGATGGCAGCATTAGCGGGTGCCTGTGGCTAACGCTGTGGCTGGACTTGGTACGATCTGATTTTCATTGATAAATGTTGGGGTTTTTTTACTCTCTGTCTCTCCTCAGACCTGGTGATGATAATTTCTGGTTAATTTGAGCTGCTCAAATTGATGTGTGAGAGCTAGGGGTATAGCTGTGGGGAGGGGATGCAGCTCACAGGCTGATGTGGGAGAGGCAGAGTTAGAGCCGCAGGAAAGAGCCTAAACTCGAGTGAAGGTTACAGAGGGCACTACAGCCTGACGGCCGAACCAATTTGAAACCGGAAATTTCTTTTTAAAAATAAGGTCGAATATTATCAAACTTGACAGTTAATACAAGTCAGCCAGAGATATTTGGAAACCCTAATTCTGATTTTGGAAATCAAAAGTTTATCTGCTCGTGACTGTGGTAAGTTTCTAACCACAATCTAGTAGATGTTGCTGGAGCTATCCTTATTCAGGACTTTGGGGCTTAGAACCAGAGAGCAAAACCACAAGAACGATCTCTGGAGGAAGTGTGGAGCATGTCCCCATCAGCTCTGAGCTAGGTCTGTGACCATCACGCACGCTCTAACGACAGGGTTTTCCTTCCAGGACAAGGTTCTGCGGATGCTGTACGTGTGGGCGCTCTGCAGAGATCAGGATGAGCTCAACCCCTACGCTGCATGGAGGTTGTTGGACATTTCCTCATCAAGCACTGAGCAGGTTCTCTGAGAAGAATTGCATCCCAGGGCTTCCTGTACCTCTCTCGAAGCAACGCCATCTCTGAACTCGCACCAATCTGCTGTATGATGGACTGTGGGGGAAAGAGGCTAGATTGGTTCCTTTTCAGAAGATCAGTTTATTCAGTGTGCCCTCATTATACCAATCCCGATAATGAGCTGGACGAGTTTGACCTATCTGCCTTACGCTTTGCTGTGTCCTATTGCACTGTAAGGATGTACGGTAGATGTCAACGTGAATGGTCTAAGACACTAGCAGCTGCTGTTGGCTCCTTTTTTAACTGTGGCTGAAGGAGGCTGGTTTGGGTCCTGTATCTTTCCCAGTGCTTCCAGTGATGGACAGAGGCGGGTATCGGAGGGTGAGCTTTGACGGGTCTAGTTCCCATCTGCTGTCATCCTCTGGTAGCCTCGAAGCATCCCTGAAAAGAACTTAGAGGTGCTTTTAAGGCACGTTGGTCTTGGCTAACGTATATCTCTTGTACAAAGTTGCACCAATAAGCCTTCTGTTGCTGCGGCGTCTTGCACTTTGCCAAACCAAATACAATCAGGACTTTGCACATGACTTTGTTGGCGTGGAGCGGGGGCAGGATGGGGGTGTTGGTGTCATCAGGCAAGTTCTTGAGGCCAGTTGTGGGCGTGCAGTTTGCTGCCAGTGATAATATTTATATATCCACAGCTTTGCAGGGGGGAACATTATTGGTTTTGGTACCACTAAAGAGCGCACAATTGCATTTTTTTCTGTCAGGTTAGTTTGATGGTGTGGAGGAGACAGGCTGTAACTGGCTACGAGGAAGCAGGCGGAGTGCTGGAACCGTGATCAGGAGTAGGGATGGACAGAACAGCAACAAATAAGTAAATAAAATGCAATAACAGGGTATCACCTCTTGTAGCTCCGGAGCTGAGAAAAGAGGGTGCAGTTCCCACACTTACCTACTGCATAAAGTGCATTACAAGCGTGGCTTTCTTCACCAGACAGACTCGTGCTTCAGGGGGATGGCACACTGGGCCTGGGGGTCCCAGGCAGCCGTGGGGAGACGTCAGAGGGTTTGCTGCTGGCACACTTAACATGGACTCTTGGTTCTGGGCTTCTGCTGGAGGCTCAGTTTGGGAGCTGTGATGTGGGTCGATTTGTCAGCTGCTTCCTCTTAATGGAAGGTGAGGTTGGGGGGGGAAGAATTGATCATGGGGTAGGAAATCAAAGGACTGATCTGCTGCTGTGTTCTGCCTGTGCACAAACAGGGTGATGCAGGACAGCACTTCCTGACATTATGATTAAAGAGAATAATTGCCAGTTCTTCCTTCTCTTGTGAGTGTCCGGATCAGCTCCTTTGCATGTAAATGGGATTATCTCACAGCCCTTGGGTGAGACATTTACCTCTAGCAGCTTTCTGAGAGCGTGAGGTGATGAGTACGGCAAATTCAATGGCAGAATCTGCCCTGTCCCCTTTGAAGATGCCCAGACCTGCTGTCTGGCTGCCACGCTAGGAATTTCTGCCGTTCTCAGGGCAGGCTGCGGGTGGGACTGAGTCCCTCCTGCTCCCCTCATCACAGAGTTTTCTCACTGGTGCTTTTGCCAGTGAAACAATTTCAGGTTTTACTCAGATATCTTAAATGCTAGCACAGAAACAAAGGTCTGAACAGAATAAATTCCACAATGCAGAAATCAGCTGTGAAATAGGGAATCCCTGTATTTGACTACCTTCAGCAGTGCAGCATGAATGTTTGACGTGGGCCTCATTCAGTGAGGCCCTTTGCAGGACAGATCCCACAGATCTCTGCATGCAGGCTGTGCTATGTGTGCAAGAGACTTACCCTTTATTTAACATCTGGACCACTGAGTGCAAATGTGATGTGGACAGTGAATGTCTTTGAGATGCTTCTTGAACCTCTTGGGGGAGTCTCATCGCTTGGACCGTGCAGCAATTGAGTCAGTGCCCTCCAAAAACGAAGACTGGTCATCTCCTGCCCTCAGTAGCTGGATGCAGGCAGTCTACAACAGCCTGGGTAAGCATGTGCAACCTGTTGTCTTAAGTCTTTTGGGATGCTTCTGTGAAGCATGGGCAAAACTTCTACTCGCTGTGCTTTTCACTTTTTTTTGACCGGTGTTGAGGGAAAAGACAGACCTGAGTTACGAATGTCAAAGTAATTGCTCTGCCCCGGACAGCTGCGGTAGCCCAGCCGTGGTGGGTTAGCGGTATCTCGTGTTGGTTGGCGTAACCTGTGAACGCTGGGTCACGGTTTGTCCCGGCCTGCCCCGAGGGGGCAGAGCGGGTGGTGCCCCAGCGATAACTGCTGCAGTATTTGGAAAACCCTTCCCTGCAAGGCAGGTTATGGTGCTGGCTGCTCCCTGTGGGGGCTTCTGACGTGTACATGGGATGTTCCCTTCGGCTGCTGTCTGGCTCGCAGCTCGTGTACAGCTTGTCTCCGGAGATGCAGTGGCATGAAGGCAATTACTGAGACCAAATGCGGTGTAAGCTCTGGAGGAGGAGTGAGGGGTAAGCACCCCACGTTCCGTGCTGGTGACGGCCACGTCTGCCAAGTCTGCAGCGTGGCTTTGTTGGTTGCCTCAGGATTCAAGGTGACCCTGCGCTAAACCCACCTCTTGGTTTTTCAGTAAAATTGGTGCATGATAGAGGGCCTGGGAAGCTGGGGATTATTCCTGTGAGCAAGCTGGCGAGCTGGGTCAGAGAGCCCCAGGACCTCAGAGGGAGCTTCAAGAAGCGGCAGAAATCACAACTGCTAAAATGAACCATCTTCTAAGCTCTGCTCAACTCCGAGAGATCCGTAGTGGTTTTGGGAGAGGTGGAGGCTCTCGCTGCCTGGCTCTTCCTCTCTCAAACCTCTGCCCGAGCTCAGACGTGGATGGAGCCAGGGACTCGGCACCCCGCGTCCCTGCTGGGCGCTTGGATCTGCCGCTTCGCTTGGCGGAGCCTCGCCGGGATGGGGTGGGAGCCTAGCTGCTCGCCAGGCTTTTGACGCCTCGTTCCTCACGTCTTGTGGGTCATGCCAAGCATTCTCTGTAGTGTGTGGGAAGGTGTGTCTGTGGGCAGGGTCCTGCCTGTTTCTGCCTTGCCCTGAGACCTCCCTCATCCCCAAACCCCGACTGCTCTGTGCGAAAGGGACGGTGGAGAGATTTCACTTGCTGCATCTCAGTGGGAAGTGTAATGTAATTATTTTTTTAGCTCTTGAGATAATTAATTCTCTTGGGATTTTATTTTTTTTAAAAGAAATTACAAGTAGCAGCCTCCTGGGAGGTACAGATAGTTTGGATAGAAAAGCAGTGCTCAGTCTGCATGTAGCAGTAGGAGGATTTTAAATTATTTTTAAATACTTCTCATGAGTGAGCAGATTTACAGTGGGCTGTAAATACTTTGCAGCACTGAGTTATAGTAGCACAGGCCTGGGCTTGCTGGCAGCCACCACAGCGGCACTGCTGTAAAGGCATCGGTGTGTGGAGAGATCTTGGTGGTGCTTATAAATCCCTAAAAAAAAATCATGAGTCAAATTGGTACAGGGAGAGCGCCCGGGATGGGGACATCTGCACCCGTGGGCAGGCTCTCCAGCCTGCTCCACTGGGTTTTTAA